CTGTATTAACGAACAAAGAATTATATTAATTAGTTGGACTAACGAATTTAATTAGCGTTTTGATGTGGTATGCCAATATAACTATTAAGTCGACGTAGGCCTTGTTTAATAATGAGTAGCTAATAGTTGACTATAATAACGAAAAACCAAATGTATTGATTTGTTTGACTATTTAATTCAATTAACAATTTGTCGTGTGGTATGTCAATCTAATTATAAGGCCGATTCATGCCTTGCTTGATAGGAAGTGACTAATAGCTGATTGTATTAACGAACAATGAACATCATTTGACAAAATCATTTCACATTTTATGAAATAATCTTTATATAGGTATAAGGTTTGGGAATCATATTATGTTCTCTCTCATTTATTTGAAAATTAACCGGTGGCTAAAATGGATAAAAGAGATGGCAATAAATTAAATTCCATCAACTAGCTTCCAAGGGCCAACTTGTTTTTAGCATTTAACATGAAAATACAAAAACAAATGAGGTGGACTGGACCCCTTTGCCAAAATAAAAATAAAAAAAAAATATATAAAGTTATGATAAGAACAACTTAAATTGTCAAAGACGTAATAAAAATGAAGTGAGTCCCATCCCAATAAAATTTGGGTACCTTGTGATGTTCTGGAGATGTCTGCCGTAGAATATCAACAAGTTTTTTTTTGTTTTTAACTAACTATTATGTCTTTTTCTCAATTTTTTCCTCAAGGATTGCTTATCAATCATCGCTGCAACAGATACGTGAACAAGTACACTTCTTTTCAAGAAGAAAGAAAAAAAGATAGAAAAGAAGTAGGCAAAATTTTATTCTAATTAGTCCATCTTTTTCGAAAAATGATATGCTATATCCGCTTAGACGTTTTGTTATGAAGCCAACTGTTGATTACTAAGGAGCGTCCAATATGAAATGCTTGGTTTGGAATCAATAAGCTAGCATAGTTTCTTTGAAAGGGATCGTAGAAGAAAGAGAATGATTGTGGTTTTTGGGCTTTGAAGTTGGAAAGATTAGAGATAAAAGCATGTTGGTTCAAATTTTCTTCTCGAACGAGTGTCAGCTTGTGTCAGGCGTGGCTGGCGTGCACTGCGCGCACGTCCGCTAGCGGTACGCTACTGGGCGCTGCGACACGACTACACACGGCGCACCACTGGGCGTGCGCTACGGACTTGGGCTCGCGCGCTATAGGGCGTTGTTAAACCCTGCAGGTGGAATAAATTCTGGCATAGTAATAATGTGATGAACGAGCGCTAGCTTCAGTGAAATAATAATAAATTAATTAATTCTTGACTGTCAGTAATCGAATAAATTAATGGACATTATATCTTAAACATGTAGAGATAAATCGAATAATTAT